CCAGCTGTGGAGGAGGCAGATCAACAGAACTTTGTTCCTGGTATTTAATACTATGTTAAGGGTGGGAGAGAGAAGAGGATTTGAGAATATCTCCTAGGTGCATGAATTGGGAAGCCAAAGGACTATATGAGAATATCTCTTCCAGGAAAAACAGAAGACAAATGTTTGGGAGCATGCCGGAGGACATGGGGATGACAAACATAAGTCCCCTAGATATCTGAGTTCCTGTAAGTTATTTAGGGAAAAATACCCCATCTGTGGCAAAGTCTATTTCAGAATATTCATCTATATTTAATGCTACTTAATAACAAATCACTGAATTTTACAGTGATGTGAAGGCTCATAAATTAAATCATACAATATGTTATGAAACCAGAGTACTGTAGTTCAAGGCCAGAGTATTCTTTTAGCAATGTGCCATCTAGTGAACAACAACTTCCTGTGTGACTTGGACTATTGATTGGTTCTTCAGAATCAAGAAACCTGGATTGTATTCATATAGCATCTCAAGTTCCCACATCATAGAAAAGCAACCTGAAAACAGTTCACACATTGGGGAAATCTCTTGTGGTTTTTTTAACCTACAGAATTTCTAGACTTTGAAAGCCTGAAAGAATAAATACTTTCTGTTTAATCTAAAAAATTAGATCTTGGACTCATTTTGAAAATTTGGGGTTTTAAAAAAAATCAGCATTTAAAATCACAGAAAACTTACAAGTTTCTTATAAATTATGCCACCTTCCTCCATCACTGTAAAAAACAACAAAACCACAAAAGCAGAATAAAACATTCATTCATTCAGCAACCTTTGCCTCTGTAATTGAACATCTTGAGGTAAATTGCCTTCCTGAATATTACTTTAGCAATGTTATCCAAAGTCAATTATCTAAACAATTGTCCTACAGGACATAAAAGACTGTGTTTGAATGCTGTAGAAGTATATTTAAAACATATTTTCTGATATTTGTTTCCTCAAAACCTTCCTTGATTCCTACTGATTTGATTGCTTATTGCTCATTTTATTCCACCACTATACCTTTGTTCCTGTGAGGATGGTAACATTTACCATACTGTGTTTTATCTATTTTTAACTTGTTTTTATTAATACTTGTTTATGGTACATAATGAAAGCCTTCACCGTAGGAGTTGGTACATGTACGAATCCCATCTTAGTCCTTTTTACTTCCTTTTCTCTTCCTTTCTCACTATAGTATATTTTTTAAATTTTTTTGCAAGCCTACCTCCCTGAAAGACCCTTGAATTTCTTGATGGATGAGCTGGTATATTTAGTCTTATATATCCAGTAATACTTAGGGTGCATGATGCCTTTCAGTTTTCAGCAAATATTATGAATGAATGATTTTAAATAGTTGCATTATTGACAAATGCTTGAAGCTTCATTAATTGGAATTCAAATTATATTAACCGATAACTGAAAGTAAGCAATTGTTTTTCTTAGCTTCTTTCAGAAAATCTAGGGGGAGAAGAAATGAACATATTGAGGGAGTAAGCAGAAGTGTCCTTATGAGCAGCGGCCTTATTCCCAGGTTTGACAATTTCTTTCCCTCGGCAGACCTCCGAGGTTCTCTTGCTAACCCCAAGTGCTGAACTAGTCTCAGAGAGACCGTGCCTTATGGACACCCCAACTGTGAGTGACTGTGTCAGCAGAATATATAAATCCGAGCTATTTCAGATTGCAAATGAAATTATCATCAAGAGATATTTCATTGCCTTACAGATAACAGCTTTGGAGGAAACACTAAAATCACAAAAATTTTCCCAAGAATTTTATTGACATTAGTAGCATACATTCCTTTAAAGGTCTTTTAATCCTTATTCCTGCAAAATAGTTGTTCTACTATTTTCAAACTAATTCTAAGGGGTTCAAATTTAGATGCAACTTCTTTGTGGATTTTAAAAAGTACCATTACTAATATTTTTTCTTTTGCCAGTTTTTATTTTTGTTAAGTTTTAGCATTCTTGCTTTTAAAGAACAAAACTGTGTGGTGTTTTTGAGGCTTGTTAATCATATTTGTGTATCTCACAGAGCATTACCTTCCATGGAAAGGAATAGGAAGTTTCATGAAAAGAAAGCACTATTTCTCCGAAGACTATTTTTAAATTTACCTCTGACATCTACAATCCACATTTTCTGCACCTACAGTCTTGTTGACAGGTACTATACAGTCTCCATTGGCTTCTCCTGAGTCCAAGCTCAGAAGAAGAACTTGGTCCTGGTCTACTTGTCCTCTTCTGGGGCCCCTCTTTGGACTGATTTTCCCTTAAAAACACATGTTTTCTGTCCCAGCAAGCAGTGAGTGTATAGATGCACATTCTATTATTGAAGATAGGGACAGTGAAGAATGGAGATATAACTGTCCAATTCTGGTTATAATTTGGAAACGGACTGAAATTTAAAAGGAATATTACAAAAATCCATTTAGAACCAGTTGCCACCCATGGTTCCTATTAAAACTTTACCTCTAAAAAGACTGATACTTTGAGAAGCATTAGCCTGACACTTTTGTTTTAGTCCTCAATTCTGAAATTATATATATATTTATGCATATCCTTATATCCATATATGAATACATATTTCCTCATATATATATATATGTTTAGATGTACAAATATCTATACATATATACATATATGTACATATAGTCACACTTTAGAGCTTAGGAAAATCAATATATTGAATAAAATTTAAAATCAAGTGAAGTAAAGGTACAATTTTTAAGAACTCTTTACATGATCACAGATTAATATAACCCCCACACCAGTGGCATCAGGATAAATTGTGACCCCACTGGAAATGCAAACTCTTCTGTCCATCCCAGGCCTACTGAATGTAAAACCTTGAGGATGGGTTCCTGCAAGTCAGTGCTACAGCAAACCCTCCAGGTGGATCTTTAAACACTAAAGTTTGAGAACCACTTGTGTATACTATAAAAAATACAAAATCAACTTCACGTTATTTTTTACCAATTTTATTTCCACTTTATGTGATAAGCAAATGCTAGAAATAAAACCTCAAGGGGTCACATGATAATGACTAATAAAATTGGTATTAAATGCAGATGAGATTTAATGAGTCACATAGATAGATATTTGACATACATAAGATTCATATGAAGCTAGAATATTTTTAAGCTTTTAACTGTTTTCTAGCTAGTAAATAATAAAACTTGAGATATGCTATATTTCTTGCATTATTTATTACTTCTGTTAATCTACTCTTGCAAAGGAGTCATTAAAATTTCAAAGATCGCAAGTTCCTTTGGTGGAGTCAAACCAGTGAAGACGATCAAGTACAAATGCCATATGTGTGAGAAGAAATGTGGATTTGAAGACAGAGGACCAGAAGCAGGCCACTGAACTGGGCAATATATCCTCCTTACTGGGCAAACTACTGTAAAGCAGTGGTCTCAGACACCTGGATATAACTCCCTAAACTAAGCCAGGACTTCATTAAGTGAAATCAAAGTTCTGACTCATTACCCTACATTGAACATAGGGCTGACTCCCAATTCTAAACCTAGGGATATATCTCATAAGGAAACAAGTGGAGATGAAATTTGGTCAATGGGAAATCAGCCACCAGTGCTGAAAACTGAAAATGGTGCACGTCAAAAAATGATATATGACAAAATTATATCCACAGGAGGTTAAGATAGGTACTGTTGACTTATGCTTGAAGGGTGAGCCTTCATCTAAGGATAAACAAAAGAACATATATATATGTTGGCAAATGGTACTTTTCCCCTGCAATTAACCAAATCTTTTTTTTTTTCATTAAGTTTATTGGTACATTCAAAGCAAACAGTACAGTTACTATTATCATTGGGACCTTGTACCTTTACATGACAGATCTTGGTTTTATTTTTTTCCCCACACCCTTGCTCTCCCTTCACCCCCTCCACCCTTTCCTATTTACAAAGACTTTGTTTTCATTTTTTTTATTTTTCCCTTATTTCCTTTCTACTCCCTTTCCCATTTCCTATTTAGCCGTTTTCTTCCTATTTCATATTCCCAATTATACCATTTGAACCTTATTTACACTTTTAGCTTTTCACACCAGAGAAATAATTCAGCATTACCAAATCTTAATTTAAAAACATAAAGGCACAGTCTTGCTTGGGAAATGGAAACCTAAAGGAGAATCTTGAGCAAACAGATGTGACTGAAATTAGCCCTATCAAGAAGAAGGAAGGCATAAGTCATGGCGAAGAGCAGCCTTAAAGGCAGAGAATTAAAGAAATGGAGAATGAATTGCAGAAGACACAGGACCTTTTGAAATCAGATTGCTAAAAACAGTCTCTACTATTGCCCCACCACTTCTCAGAGCTCTGTTTTCTTCATAGTTCATGTGATTTGGTTAACTGACAACTGCTATAAATATATTGCTTTTTAATGAACTTTAAACCAAAAGAAAAGGATGAGCTTTATACTTTTTATCTACATGGTTATTATTGAGGACACCAATTTAGACAGAGTGTCTGTGTACAAAATTAAATTTTTTAATGTATTTGTTTTACATGAGTATGTGTTTTCACTTGATGCAGTTTGCAGCCATCTTGGGAGTGGTTCCATGTACAGATCACTGCTTGTTTCTTTTGTTCTAACCCCCTTCCCTGGCCCTCCCCCACAGCTTCCCTTATCCCCTTTTTCATACTTGTTGACATTATTGGACTTGGCTCACATTATGACTATAGTGTTTACATTAGTTGGGGTTATTAGGTTCTAGCACATGGCATGTCTTTATTATTTTTCCACTCCCTCCCCTCCCCTTGTCCTCCTTCGCTTGGACAGCTTTTGTGTTGCCTGAGATCCATCCCGCTGTCCCTTTCTATCCATCTTGTTATCATTTACTTTGTTGTACTTTGCCGTCCTCAAATGAGAGACTTCATACAATATGGAAGCTCGTGTGTCTGGTTTATTTCATTCCACATTATATTTTTCAGGTGCATCCATTTTCCTGCAAATGTCTCACATTTGTCAAAACTATGAAATGCTTCACAGATTCGCGTTATCATTTTGCAGGGGCCACGCTGATCTCCTCTGCATCGTTACCATTTTAGCAAATGGGCAGCCGACACAAGCACAATTTATTTTTAAGTAAATAATTGGTCCTTACAGCCAGAGACACAAATGATTGTAATTCGTAAAAGAAAATAAAAAATTTGATGTTAATGATAGAAAAGTCCCAAATGGAAAGAGAAGGTGTAAACAAGAGAAAGAGAGAAGGAAACGTGCAGATTCGGTAACAGGAAGGAAATCTCTACACAGAAGAATGAGACTAGAGAGTAGCTCTTCCTTTTATTAACAAACTAAAGGGCCTGGAGCCAGCTTGCTCTGTGGCACTGAAGGGTTCCTGTCAAGTGAGTGGTGGGATCAGCCCTGATTCTTATCATGAAATCACCTCATCCAGAAACACACCTGAAGAGTACTGCTGGACTCTGTTCTCTTCTCTTGATATGTCTCTTTACTCATCATGTCATTTTATGTTTATTTTACTCTAGTAAAATGTTTTATAAGATATTTTAACACATCTTGGGGCTGGTGTACATTTATGACTCACCTTCTTAGAAATTCTGTATTTACATTCTGATTTATTCTTAAATTAATTTTAGTGTGACTTTTTCTCCTAACTAAAAAGAATCTGCTTTTATTGGGATTGCCTCCTAAGAAAGATAGTAAGGCAAGGTGAGTTAAGAGAGCATTGGTTGTTGGTGGGAACCTAAGACAGCCATTACAGAGAAAAGGATGGAAGTTTCTCAAAAACTAAAAATTGATCTAACATATTATCCAGCTGTTCCACTTCTGTGTATACAATGTATATCAAAGGAAATGAAATCAGCATACCAATGAGATAGCTGCATATGCTTTATTTCAGTATATTGTATACAAATACTGAAGTTATGGAATCAGGAATCAGACAAAATGCCCATAAAGCAATGTATGAATAAAAAAGATGAAAAAAATATGAATGAATCCTGTTATTTGCAGCAAAATGAATGCAACTGCAAGACATTATGTTAAATGAAAAAGCCTTCCTCAGAAAGACAAGAATGTTTTCTCTATTATACATGAAAGGGTTAGGAAAAAAGTGCATTGATACAATGGTCAATATGGATTGAAGGGAAGGGAATAAAGGAAAGCAATGACTCATGCATTGAAATATCACACTGAAATATATTAATATATAATTTACATGTAAATAAAATTAATGGGGGGAGCGAGTAAGGATTACTTATACTGAGTCTTTTCCTGGAGAAAAGAATATGTTTGTCTTTGGTTTCACTTTAGTCTCTTGCAGTTCCTTCCTTAGAATTTTATAGTTATCTTTTTATTAGCCCATGTTTGCAGTCCACAATGTCTATTGTGGAGAGTTGGTACACGCACATAATACCTCTTAATCCTTCTTACTTTCTGTGTTTATCCCCTTTCCTTCCCCTCTCTTCCTGCTTCTTCCAATTCTTGGTCCCCTTCCCATTTATAAAAAAGTTATATTTTCATCATTTTTTCCTTCAAATAACTTTTCCATTTTATTCCCCTACTCCTCCTTCCTTTGTCTCTTGTTCCCTCATCCATTTGAAAAAGATCTCCCTACCTTCCTGTCTCTCATCTATTTTTGTCTTTCTCATTTTATTTTGATTTTCTTATATAAGATAAAACATATAATATTTAAGCTGGTGTGTCCAATTGATTTCACAGTTATCTCTACATTGGTAGTACACAATTATTTTTGTTTCTATTATGACAATTCAGTTATGTGGCATATAACTACATTTTGGTCAACAATGAACCACCTATACAATAATAAAAGGGAAATATTATCATTCTTAACCTGTTAGATGTCTGATATGCTGACTTTGCATTCTCTAAAGCTGAACTAGTCCAGGAATCAGAAGTACAGAACAGATACACTTAAAGTTTCTTGGGTCACTGTACCAGAGTGTCAGGGTGGGAAATGGCCACAAGAGAAAGGCACTGAGAGGGAGCAAGCTAGACACTGATGCCTTGAGAAATTCAAGTAGCAGTGAGCTCAGACCAGGAAGGACATTGTGGCTCCACTCCTGCATTGAGAAACCAGTCCAACTACATGTGGTTTTGTGAGGGGGCTCGAGTTCAGGGTGCTGGCATTAAGTCCAGCACACTGCTTGACACACCCTTCACTACTTATGTCCAGCCCAAGGCTCAGGAATGTTTGCTTTCTCTTTCAGTCAGCACAATCAGTGAAATGCCTAGGCTTGTGTGTTTGCAATATCCTTTGATGAATGGACAGAGGAGATTTGAGAAAAGGGGCACCTCATGAGCCTACAGGCCATAAAGCTAGATGGTGATCACGGTAAGGTGGGGCATTGGGAAGGGCACAAATACTAAGAGCCACTGGAGCAAATACAACCTTAAGCCAAAAGCCATTCCAATAGATTGACCTTGGCCCAACAGGAAAGGCAGGATGGGACTCAACATGCGCACACATGCACACACATACATACACACACTTTGTGTGAGAACAAAACAGGCCCTAGCTATGATTCCTACCCCTCTCCCCTACCTGGTGGATTCCAATACTACAGGCCCTGGAAATAAGTCACTCACCCAAACACACAGAGGAATTATTTGGACTTATTTTTCTTCTCTGTGTTTTGGAGTATGTTTTCTCTTTTCTTCTCTTTTTTTTTTTTTTTTTTTTTGTTTTTTTTTTTTTTTTTTTTTTTTTTTTTTTTTTTTTTTTTTTTTTTTTTTGCTTTTAGTTTTATTCGTTTTTTTAAATTTTCTTATTTTGTTCTATTACTTTTATCTAAATCTATTAACTTTACCTTATTATTTAATTGGATTCTTCATCTCACATTTCTCCTTTCTCAAATTCCTTTTATTTCATTTTTCTTTTCCCCAGCCTATTTTATTATTATTACACTCAAGCTTAGTTATTTTTTTTATATTTAGTTGACTAAATGCTACTGTTGAATCCTTTTCTTTTATTAAGGGTGGTTAAAGGTTGATTTCATAGATATTTACTGTATGCCAATATACAGTGTGACTTTCTGACTATATTATTATTATTGATTTATTTTTTATTGATAAGGGTAGTGCCATTGTAGTTTTATTGGTTCTTTTTGAAGGTCACTATCCAGTGTGTCTCATTTTCTTCTTTCTGCATAATGCTGGGGGTCAAGGCCTCAGAAGAAGTCTGGGCACTAAGAAGACCCTCAAATATTACACTGAGAAGGGTAAAGAGTGGTATAATAACCAAAACATAACCAAACATAAGGGCACATCACAGGGACACACATTTTAACTAAGGAGATCTACTCAATAGGGCCTGAGTTTTTCTACCATAGCTGATCTTCAACCCTCAACACACAACAATAGATATGAGAAAGCAAGGCAATAGATGCCTCCAAAAACCTTTAGCCTCTCAAAAGCTCATCTCACAGACACTGAATTAGAGAAAAATTACTAACAAACAACACAAAACCAAATGGTCAAAATGTTTTCAAAGCTGAAGGAAGAAACGCCAAAGCAATTTCATATGTCAAGTTAGCTTAAAAAAGGATTTTATTAAAGAAATATAGAATATTACTAAAAATGTTCAATGAGACTATAGAAGAAATAAATAATAACAACCTGAAACAAGAGAATATAAGACAAAAATTACCAGTTTGGTAAACAATTAGAAATTATGAAAAGAAGGCAAGCAGATATATAAGATATGAAAAATTCAAAAGAAATCATGGCTAGCAGATTTAACCAATATGAGGACAGAGTGTAATAAATTAAAGACAAGATGGATGTAAGAGATCATAAACTCCCACAGAAATTACACAAAGATTAAGCAATATGGTATTAAATAATCAAGGATCATAGATGAAATCAAGAAAAAGCAATTTAAAAATCCCCAGACTCAAATTACAATGGAAGTACAATATGCCAGATTTATGAGCCATAAGGAAAACAATTCTAAGAGTGAAGTTTATAGCTGTGAATGCACACATTAAAAGAATTGAGCAATATCAAATAAATAATGTGTCTCAAGATTTTAGAAAAACAAGAGCAATCAAAATCAGAAATTAATACAAGGAAAAATGCTACAAACAGAGTAGAAATTAATAAAATTAAGACTAAGAAAACACTAGAAAGGATCAATGAATCAGAGTTGATTCTTTCAAAAGATAAACAAGATTGATAAACTTTAGTGAAACACCCCAAAAAGACAAACAAAAAAAACCCTCATATTAATGCAATTAGAAATAAAATAGGTAAAATCACTACTGCCACCACCAAATTCCAGAGGATTATGAAAAACTACTTCAAAAACTTAAATAATGATACACTGGAGAACCTAGAAAGTGGAGAAATTCCTAGATACATATAAATTACCAACTTTAACCAAGAAGATATGAACACTCTGAATAAACCAATAACAGACAATGAAATAGAAGCAGTAAACAAGCTGTCAGCAGCAGCAACAACAACCACAATAACAACAACAACAACAACAAAGAGCACAGGACCCAAAGAATTCAGTGAAAAATTCTACCAGAATTTCATGGAAGATCTAATGCTAACATTCCTCAAACTCTTCAGTAAAATAAAAGGGCGGGAGAACTGGAAAATTCATTTCAAGAAGTTAGTATTACCCTGATAGCAAAATGGGACAAAGACTTTTCAAGGAAAACTACAGGCCAATCTCCTAAATGAACATAGATGCAAAAATCAGTAACAAGATACTGGCAAAGAGAATGCAAAAGATCATTAAAAAGATCATACAACATGACCATCTTATAAATTCAAGGATGATTCATTGTACATAAATCAATGAATGTAAAGTATCACAGAAACAGGAGCAAGGACAAAAATCACATGATCATCTAAATAGATGCAGAAAAAGCCTTTGACAGAACTCAACATTCATTTGTGGCAAAAGCCCTGAAGAAAATATTGAAGGACTTTATCTCACATTGATAAAAGCAATGTATGACAAACCCACAGTCAACATCGCACTAAATAAGGAAAAACTGAAAGCTTTCCCTTTATAGTCAGGATCAAGAAAAGGTTGCCCTCTTTCCCCCTGATATTCAAAGTAGTACTAGAAAAT